CGTTATAACCATGCATGATAATGACTATTTCACCTGTCTTGGCATTTTTACAAATACCGGTTTTGATTAAGATTTTGTCACCCTAGACTGGCCGAGTTTAACTGTAGCGAACAGCTCAGGTGTGGGGGAGTCACCCCCGTATAGATCTATACACAAACTATCGCTCTCCCTCCAGGAGACTCTGGTTACAACTTACAGACTACGACCGACACTTATTGGTGCCGACCGATATTTTCTCACTAAGTCCCCAAATATTACCCCATGAATTTGAATGAAATTGATTACAACACGTTTGATGTTCACATAGTATAGAGTAAAGCCTAACCAACACGAAAAATGGACATTGTGGCCCACTAATCATGTGTGTCATTTATAGGCTGTCGAGTATGCTTATGGACACGTTAGCCCATCAAGCATATGATTGATTTGGACCATACTAGCAATGCAAATGGGCCAGTAAGGCCCAATAGCATGTAAAAGTCATAGAGGGTCCCGTAGGCATGTAATTGGGTCACCGGAAGCCCAATAAACATGTTTTGATTATATTGGGCCTAATAATCGTGAAATTGGACCACGAAGGCCCAATGGACACAATGAGTACATTAGGCCCAATCATTGTTTCATTTCTCCGTTCTTCGATATGTTTGTAATATAGAATTCGTTTTACGCTTAGTATTTATTTTCAATAGTAAAACACTTGGCGTTGGATTGTAACGACACTTTGGTTATAAACATATATATCTTTGGCCCAATTGTTTTAATATTAACATATTTCACCCCAAAATATTTTTATTTGACCATTTCAGCCCATTTTCATATAAAGTTACATTTTTAGCCATTTCTTAATAAAAATGACATTTTTAGTCGCTTTTGATGAAAAATAACATTTTTGGTCCTTAAATCACTATTCTTGGCATTTTCGGCCCAAACATAATTTATATTACAATTTCAGCCCAAAAATATATTATTTGATATTTCCAGCCCTTATTTGTATAAAGTTTACACTTTTGGCCCAAATTTCGTAAGTTTTCATTTTTGATCCAAATTCGAAAAACTTTGCATTTTAGTCCAAATCTTGCAATAAAGATCATTTTCAGCCCCTGAAATAGTTTGTTTGTGTTTTAGACTCATACTTTAAGTGAATTTACAATTTCAACCCCAAAACTTTTCATTTTTACAATTTTGGGCCCAAAAACCCGTGAGGCCCAAATGTAAGCCCAATAAGCTATAATTTATGTTTTTGGCCCCTTGAGAAGTGTTATTTTCATAAAAGTCAGATTTTTATGTAAATAATACTATTTTATCCTTATAAAACCGAAAATATCATATTTTACCCAAATCTTTGTTATTTTTGCAAAAATGACACTTATAAAGATTTTTGGCTTTGTTTTCACTTCTTAAGCCTAAAGACTCTTACATCTTTGAAGTATGTTGTCTTATTATGTTTTTTTTGTTTATGAATTTTTCACACTTTGGCTATAGATCTCGTGATATAACATGTATTAACACAATTTTTCACAACATAAATCAAAGAAATCACATATAACATGCAAGCATACATAGATCAACACATAACACTTGTATTCTCCCCCCCCCCCAAAAAAAAACAAGTAAAAACCGAAAAAAAGGGGGTATGAACTCACCTTGGGTTTGTGGTTTCGGTTTTGAAGAAGAATGGAAGAAGATGGTGTGGTTTTCGGCCTTAGAGACTTCGTTGAATAGAACTTTCGAACTTAGAGGTTTTCTAGGAAGTATGATCACCAAATGAAGTCATATAAGGAGTTGTTCTTAGCTTAAGAATGGAAACCAAGACTTATGTATAACAATAACTTACCAATGATGGTGATATAAGTGAAAGATCTTCTTGAAGCCACACGAATTTTCAAGATTTTGAGGGAGGTAAGAAGATGTTCTTGAAAGGTTTGAGAGAGTTTGAAATGAAAGTTGAAGGTGGTGAGGGTGTGTGTGTTCGGTCGAGGGTAGAAAAGAAGAGGGAAGAAGAGAGAGGGTGAGGTGATAGATGCATGGGGATGTGAGAATGGTGCATTGTTATCCTACATACAATTTTGAGGTGTCAACCCCCCTTAATCTCCCATTAATATCATTTCTCTTTTTTTTTTTTATCTTGGGCCGAAATGGGCCTAATGAAAGAAGATATGGATTAATTTGGCCCACTTCTGGCCTTAGTTCGAAACTATGAGGTTCATAGAGAAGGTTTTCGGCCCATTGGGCTCCTTTGGATAGTTCACGACCCAATTAGCATAAAAGAATGGGTTTTATGGTCCATTAGGGTTAATTTATTTTGTTATGGCCCAACAAGGCCCATTAAGGAGAGGCTAACACATGTCCTATACGTGTTTTGCAAAGTTAAAAGTCAGAAGATGAATCACTCAAACGAAAACAAGACAAATCAACACTATTGGATGTGGCATTAGACAAATCTGTTGGGTTTTGAGCATAACAACATTCCTATGGTGTACATGCAACCCTAATTGCTTTGGATATAGGTTTTTCTCTATTGAACATACAACTATGAATACCAAAGCAATAACCCTATGAACTAGCATACACAATTCGAAAATCACATATGATTAGGGTTAGGAACTTTACCTTACTTGTTATGTAGCAATAACAAGAACAATCCTTCTTGATCTTGACTTCTGAAAGCCTAGTGCCCCAAGTGTTGCACCTCTAATGGATTCACAAACACCAAATGCAAGAAGAATGGCTTAGGAGAGGGAAGGATTTTGCCACCTTAGGGTTTCTTAAAGACTTGGACGAAAATCCTTTAATATTGGGGTCTATTTATAGTTGAGGCTGCTAGGGTTTTAGGTGGAAACCCTAATTATCTGCTTAGGCCTTAAGCAACCCATGGAACCCTTCTAGAAGGCCCCTTGGACGAAATCTATATGGGCTTCCCATAGATTTCGTCCATCCCTTCTATTAGGAGTCCATAGCTCAACTAGCAACTAACAATTGATTGCAATATCAGTCCCCTTAATTTAATCAGTCTCTTTTGACCACCAAATTAATTTCCGATCAATACTAATTAAATAATATAATTTCCAAATAATATATTAATCTTGTAATATATTAATAAAACCATTTCGAGTACTAATTTATTATTCAAATAATAAATCCTACTCTCTCTCCTCTTGTCATCCTATCAAGTTGCATTAGTGAAGGCAACCCAAAAGGACCATGATCATAATCAAATCAAGTACATACCAAAAATAGTTATGGGGTTAGACACCTAATCCAACAGTCTCCCACTTGGATAAGTCTAATAACTATTATTGCAAGTACGCCTTCAGAATCTGATTAGCAATCGTAGCTTTAAAAAGCCGCTGTCGAACTCTGATCTTATCAGTAACGCGTCCTTTAGATAAGGGATCATATATTCGATATTGTATGAACTGAGAAATGGATTATAATCATTCTCTCTGTTCATGTGTTGTTTCCCGATTTCTGATTTATGACGTCTAACTAATTGAACATATCAAATCAGTCCAGGCTTGGCCAAGCGCTTAGGGGTGTCATCACTAAATCATCGAGGGGCCCACAGATACGGATAAACTTCGATTCATATGCTTGCACTATTTACTCATCAAATCACACACAACAATACGTTTTATAACATCAAGTTACTGATGTGTTTAGGTATTATCAATGTGCAACCGAATTGTAAACACCAACTTATATCTCTCCGTTTCAAGAATATAAGATATTATCGTCTCACAATCACTCGTGATAAAATCAATGAAGTGATTCACGTGAACGTGGGTTTAATCCAATACTCAAATCTTATTTCATGAGCACTCGTGAACGTTGCAGCAAACTTTTGCTATGTCTAAACGCTTTAGACAATCTACAAGCCAATTCATGACAGTCTTGCCTCAATACCTACTTCCAACGTATGATCGATTGTGGATGTTTGAATAATCTTATTATTCGGGAAGTCAAAACATGCGAAGGCGAAACACAAGAATAATCTAATCTAATATGATCTCAACACTTTTGAGTATAAATAAAACACTTGTTATTTAATCACCATATTGATTACACATTATTCATTGTATAATGTTTCGGATAATCAACTTAATACTTGAATAAAAAACAATAGTTATCCCATGCTCCAAGCATGCATACTATGTTTACCTATGGTCATTTCTTTGTGAAATAGATCAATTGAACACACTTCCAATAACACTCATTTCACAATTCCCAATCCTTGTCACAAGTGTAAGAATATCAAATTCTTGCCACTATTAGAATGTGTTAGATTCTAACATTTTACGCAATGATCCTTTTGTAATGTCATAGCACCAAAGTCACAAAGACTTTGCCAATGATATTAAAAAGTGCTCTATTGGAGATTGTTAGAAGACAACTCCATAGATATGAAGTTTCGCATTCAAAGTACATTCCTTTGAACATCCTTTTCGCATAAAAGTTTCTAACCTACTCATAGATTCTTAATATCCAACTCCCATTATGGAAACATTTCCATATTTTCCATATGACAACTCATTCTTAATAGAATCCTATCTATTCGTAATAATGTCAATATGGTCCATTCATTACCATACTTCCAACTGCTCATAATGTGACATCCCCATTTTCACGGCCAGAAAAGACCGATTTTGTTTATGCTTTGTTTAAAAATCAGAGTAACATTTTAAATAAAAGTGTTGCGGAATTTGTTCCCAAAATAAATTATGATAAAGATTTATCAAATCATTTCCATAGAAATGTATTTCATTAAAAACCTCGGGATGTCATGTTCGATACAGATCAAAAGCATAAAAAGTACAATATAAGCCTTACTACATTTATTCATATCTACAGGCCTATATCCGTAATCTCTCATCCCAAACATCATATCTATGCTCGTGCGCCACTACCTGTAATACAAGAAACTGTGTGGGTCAGGCTTGGGAGCCTGGTGAGCACATAGAGTTTTCAACCCACAATAAATAAGTTTATTAATTTCCTCAACCAACAATAACCCGATTACCCGTTCCCGTTATCCTCACATTACGTCCCTAAAACACCTATCATAAGGGACCTAGCCTAAGGATCAACATCGGGATGGACACTACTTCCAAGGGGTTTCCTAAGCAATAAATGTCCTAAAGGAAACCATGAGGGGGATGGAGTACACCGGTGAACACATCGTTCACAAACACCTACATGTTGAGCAGTTGAGCAGTTGTAGAAAATCTAGTGGACAAGATGACAAAGGAACAGTTAGAACTCAAGAATGATAATGACAATACGGCATTTTGTTTAGCAGCAGCCGGTGGAAATGTCAAAACTGTTATGACTATGTTGCAAAAGAACGGGACCCTTGGGGATATCCCAGGCAGTAATGGAATGATGCCACTCTATATGGCATCTTTATTTGGAAAACATGAAATGGTGAATTATCTTTATAATAAATCTAGGGAGATGCATGGAGATTGTTGGACAGATAAGAATCGCAGTTGGGTTCTACAGAAATGCGTGGAAGCTGATCAATATGGTATGTAGTTGTTGCTCCTTTCTTGTTGTTCTATAAATGTTTTCATATGTGCTTCTGTTAAAAAAAAGTTGTATGATATTTGTTGCGTTTGATGTAATACTTTCCCTGATTAAATGTTAAAACAAATTATGTAGATATTGCATTGAAAATAGTGTCCCGATGGCCATTGCTAGCAAAAAGTGGGATTTTACTTGGAGTTTTGGCTCGAAAACCTGACGCATTTAAGGGGATAAAACCGCATTTTATCTGGCGAATCATATGTCCAAGTGAAAATCTCTACTCTTATATTTTGCTTATCAACTCATTTTTATCCATCTATTTGATTTCTTATTTGGTTGTGGGTTTCAGTTTTGGCGTTGATTCATGTGAAGGTTGGGCCTTCTGAAAAAGCAACTGATGCCATGGAATTACTAAAAATTATTTGGTCAGAAATTGTGAAATTATCCAAGGATGAAATCAGTGGTATTATCAGAGGGCCAGCTGACCTACCAACAAATAGTGGAAAGGAAAAGGAAGATGTCGAGCAACTTCTTGGGTCCATCTTGGAAAATGTTGCGAAGATGCCCACAAGAATTCATAACCTATGGAGTAGAAGGCAAGGTGATCAAGAAGTAAAAGGTGTAAATCAAACATTCTCTTCACGTGTACTATTTGTCGCTGCAGAGATGGGAAACACTGAATTTCTAGTGGAGCTCATTCGGCAATATCCAGATTTAATATGGAAGACAAATGACAACGAGCAAACTATATTTCATGTTGCTATCTCACATCGTCATGAGGGTATCTACAATCTTCTACATGAGATTGGCTCGATGAAAGATATGATAACACCTATGAAGGATCGGAAAGGAAATAATATGTTACATTTAGTTGGGAAGTGTGCGAAGAAAAAGAGACTTCAAGTAATTTCAGGGGTTGCTTTGCAAATGCAACGAGAGTTGTTGTGGTTCAAGGTATTTCTTTCTCTCTAAGACATTAGCTCTCTCTTTACATCTCTGTACTTTCGTCTTTCATACAACTAGAAGTTATTACTTAAGTTGCTTCTACTCTATCATCCAAGAATAGCTAAAATTGTTTTAAAATAGAACGTTTCAAAATGGACAAATATTTAACCTTTCTTTTGTTTACGTAGGAAGTAGAAGGTATGATTCCTCCTTCATATCGAGAAAGGAAGAACAATGATGGTTTAACACCACATGAACTAGTCAGCAAGGAGCACAAAGACCTACTTGCTTCAGGTGAAAAGTAGATGAAAGAGACAGCTAGTCAAAGTATGGTGGTGGCAGCTCTTATAGCTACCATTGTTTTTGCAGCAGCGTTTACAGTTCCTGGTGGTTATAATCAAACTAATGGTGTTCCTATGTTCTTTCATAAAAGATCTTTCATAGTATTTGTCATATCGGATGCCATTTCTTTGACATTCTCGTCCGTTTCACTCCTAATATTTTTATCTATCCTCACATCTCGCTATGCTGAAGATGATTTCTTGGAATTATTACCCAAAAGGCTGATGAGAGGCCTTACAACACTCTTCTTTTCTATCGCAGCCATGATGGTCGCTTTTAGTGTTAGTTTTTTCGTCCTTTATCAAAACATGATATGGATACCTATTGTTATCAGTGCAATTGCTTCCATACCGGTTATTTTATATGCTAGACTTCAGTATGATCTTCTGGGGGATGTTTATAACTCAACGTATACTTCTAAGAATCTCTTCAAGCCAGAAAAGCTAAAGATTTACTATCAAAATCCAAAGCACTAACTGTAACATTCATTTCAAGATGTACGATTGTTATGTCTTAGTTTGTATCGGTTGCGAATCTATATATGATATGTGAATGATTAATATTTTTATTGCCAATTGTTATGGAAGCAAGAAAACAAGCAAAGAAAAAGCCAGCCAATGAATTTACGTGGTGTGATCGATTTGACCTATGTTCTTCAGTAATAGAAGTAAGGTGTGGCCGGTGTTCGACAACAACTTTACTGGGTCAGCACCAAGTCCATTTGGCGACACCACATAACCCAAAAAGTGAACTTAACTATTAAAAAACACATTTAGCAGGGTATTACGTGTTGTGGGCTTAAGAAAAAAAGATGCATATGTATTATGTATTATATGGTTGTTATTGCCTTATTGCCTATTAGATAAAGAAAAAAAAATGCATGAACTTGGAACGCAAGGTTATAAAAACCGCCATTGGCTTGTATGACGGATAAGAAAATCGATTAAAACTAAGGCCATCGACAATGCATTGAATTTTATAGAGCTCAATGGATTGTCACGTCATGTTCTACATTCCATACAACTCCATCAATATTTTTCCTACAATGTATATTGAACTCTATAAAGTTTAATAGAAACTTACAAAAAAGCTAATTTATAGTATGTAATTAAGATTAGAAAACTTTTCTTTTCCCCATTGAAGAGTTCAAGTGTCATTGAACTTCAAATCTATTGAATGACAAGATGACATCTCACTATGATAGAGTTTATCTATTGAATAACAACTAGACTTATCACATCATTCAACCGTCTCATTGAACTCACCATTATTGATGCTCTAAGAATGTTCATTAATTAGTATTATAAAGTTATTAGTGATTTTCTGATTTGGGCCATCTTTGGCCCTTTAACCTTATACCTAGGTTTGACGTTTCAAATTTTCTATTTATATTATTTTTCTTTTTCTTTTGTAATGGTACTCTTTTTTATGATTCAATAATGAAATTCTAGCAATATTTTGTTCATTAATTACATGGTATCAGAGTCGTATTCAGTATGTCGTTTATGATTGTTGGAAGCGAGTTGTACGTAAAGTAGCGGCATTCCGCGTTTTGAAAAATTTGATGAATTTGGTATGTCTTTCTGATCTACTTATGTACTTGGTTTGTTTTGTTTTGTCAGAATTGTTCGAGAGTTCCAATTATTGTTGGTATTCGTTTGATTTTGTGGTTTTTCGACTTTTTTTGAGCCGCGATTTAGGTTTTGCCACCACAAAATTAACCTTTTCGTCGATATCTTATTGCTATCCATCAATATTTTTCCTACAATGCATATTGAATTTTATAAAGTTTAATAGAAACTTACAAAAGCTAATTTATAGTATGTAATTAAGATTAAAAAACTTTCATTTTTCCCATTGAAGAGTTCAATTGCCATTGAACTCCAAATCCATTGAATGAGAAGATGACATCTCACTATGGTAGAATTTTATCTATAGAATAACAACTAGACTTGCCACCTCATTCAACCATCTCATTGAACTCACCATTGTGGATGCTCTAAAAATGTTCATTACTTAGTATTATAAAGTTATTAGTCTTTCTCTGATTTGGGCTATCTTTGGCCCTTTAGCCTTATACGTAGGTTTGACCTTTTAGATTTTCTATTTATATTGTTTTTCTTTTTCTTTTGTAATTGTACTCTTTTTTATGATTCAATAATGAAATTCTCGCAATATTTTGTTCAGTATTTACATGGTATCAGAGCCATATTCGGTATGTCGTTTATGATTGTTGGAAGTGAGTTGTACATAAAGTTGCAGCATTCCGCGTTTCGAAAATTTTGACGAATTTGGTATGTCTTTCTAATCTACTTATGTATTTGGTTTGTTTTGTTTTGTAAAAATTGTTCGAGAGTACCAATTATTGTTGGTATTCGTTTGATTTTGTGGTTTTTCGACTTTTTTTGAGCTGTGATTTAAGTTTTGCCGCTGCAAAATTAACCTTTTATTCGATATCTTATTGGGATTTTATTTTCAGCCCGCGATTTAAGATCAGAGCACCGTTTCGTCGCTATCTCGTCGTGCCGTTATTTTCAAGCCGCAATTTTTAAACAGAAAGTTTTTTTCGTTTTGGTTATTGTTAGAAATTTAGTTCGGTTGTTACTGCTGATATTTGTCGATTTTGAAGTGTTGGTATTCAGTTTGACTGTTGTTGTTCATTATTGCTTTCGACGGTTTGATTTGGTCGTTTGTTGTTGGTTTGGGGTTATTGCTTGATTGTTTAATGTTAATATGGATGCAAATGATAGACCAGTTCGAAAAGTTAATTTTGATGAATGTGCTTACTACACACAGAAGAACCATTAGAAGTTTCAGTTCTCATTGTTTTTGAACAAGGCAAAACAACAACACGGTAGATCATTTGGAATGTTTCAGTCATTGTTTCACCCTACAATAGAAACTAATGTTCAAGCTACCACTACGTCATCTTCTGCGTTGGATGCTCAAGTTCTTAAGTAGTTCAGGCAGTTCCTTGCTCTCAATTATGCAACTATGGTTGCATCTGCATCTCATTCAAGTCTTTCCTCATCCAGTACTACAAGTACTCCTTCATCTTTATGGATCTTGGACTCTATTGCATCTTATTATATGCCACTTTACTTGTCATCCTTTGTGTCTTTATCTTATGGATCGTCCATTTTAGTCTTGTCAGCCAGCTCTTCACCTATTCCTAGAAATGGTGTTGGTTCGGTTGTCACTCCTTATGTATCTCTTAATGATGTTTATTATATTCCCACACTTGCTTTAAGTCTTGGCTCAGTTAGTCAATTGTGTAAATCTGGTTATTGGGTTTTCTTTTCCGATTCTGTTTGTTGTGTTCTTGATTCTTACTCTCAGAGATTGATTAGGACCAACCATAATTTAGGAGAACTATATGTTTAAATCAACTCAAAATGTCTGATGTCACTGCCAGTAGTGTTGATTTTGTTGGATTAGGTGTCTAAGCCCATAATTATTTTTGATATGTACTTGATTTGATTATGAGCATGGTCATTTTGGGTTGCCTTCACTCATGCAACTTGATAGGATGACAAGAGGAGAGAGAGTAGGATTTATTATTTGAATAATAAATTAGTACTCGAAATGGTTTTATTAATATATTACAAGATTATTATATTATTTGGAAATCATATTATTCAATTAGTAATGATTGGAAATTAATTTGGAATTAATTTGATGGTCAAAAGAGACTTATTAAATTAAGGGGACTGATATTGCAGTTAATTGTTAGTTGCTAGTTGGGCTATGGACTCCTAAAAGAAGGGATGGACGAAATCTATGGGAAGCCCATATAGATTTCGTCCAAGGGGCCTTCTAGAAGGGTTCCATGGGTTACATAAGGCCTAAGCAGAGAATTACAGTTTCCACCTAAAACCCTAGCAGCGTGTGTGGTTAACTGGCGCACTAATATGGGACTAATGAAGGATGGCAATGGGTAGCTCGTAGATTATCATAGATCAATGGAGCGTGTATGGTTAACCGGCACATTGATTGGGTGATAAACGTCTTCAAGAGTACCAAGCTAATTTGCATGGTTATTCACACCTTGTTTGTGATCCTCGGCATCCCAGTCACAAACTTGAAGGGCATAATCGAGATTAAACATACCATTGAAAAGTTCAATGAATCTCAAAAGATCTAGGAATTTCAATTCATTTAAAACCTAATGTTCTTTTTCGTTTTTCATGGTGGAAATTGGTAAATCGTCATTTACCTACCTTCAAATATTTTACAATTGGATTACGGCATCCCTATTCCGAATTGTGGAATATTGTGTTGGTTCCTAGCCTTAATATTTCATTTGGGTGTTATATTAAGGACTTAAATCAACTAACTTGAATTTCTCCCTTTTGTACATGTCAAATTCTAACAACTATGGTCTTCCCGAATCTTTTGGAAAAAGCTTTCCTCATGTAGATGATGTTCCACGATTGGATCGTGGAAATGGAAATCATACTTCACTTCCTCCACCTCCTCCAATAATTCTTCCTAACCCATGTGTTCGAAGACTTGAAAAGTTCAAGGTCATTCAAGCCCTATTGACAAGCAAACACGAAGATGGAAAGTCTGTATGCGCTCACGTCTTGGAGATGAAGTTGCATATTGACAAGCTAGGGATGTTGGGTGTCGTTATCTCCAGGAAGCTGGCTGTTGACTTGGTTCTTCAATCACTTCCTAAGTCATATAGTGAGTTCATTAATGATTACTATATGAAAGACCACAACGTGACCCTTATCGAACTTACCTATTTGCTAATTGCTGCTGAATTAGCAATGATTTGGCGTACTGGTCAAGCAAATTCGTCTGGTAGATCAATCTCCCAAACTTCCATGGAAAGGGATCGGCCAATGTCAAACCGTTTGACCACCTGGTAAAGAGAAAGGCTAAGTCTGAGATTGTCTCGTGTGCTATTCCGAAAGAGTCCGTTTGTTTTAATTGCCAAGAGAAGGGGCATTGGTTGCGAAGTTGCCCTGACTACCTGAGAGATCTAAGAGATGGTAAAATCAAATTGTATGGTTCTACTTCAGGTAAAAGTCCACTATCTAACTCTGTTAAATTCCTATTTGTTGATTCTTAATACATGATGTGATGAGATTGCATTTTGATGTTTTGTAGGATCAAAGAAAAGAAAGGAACCTTAAAGGAAGAGTGAGCTGAGTCTGATCGCGAAGAGATGGATTTCTATCGCATGGTTCGATGATCGGATTTTTGAGCTGCTACTTAGGAGTTATGATAGATTGCTTAGGAATATTTAGTAACATAGTTTTCATTTGTAATTGCGTTGTAAGGACTAGTTTTTCCGCACTTTTATAAATAAAGAAAAATTTTGATTTGTCTTATTTTATATTTCCTTGCAATGGCATTTGTGAAAATTGATGTTTGTATTGTTAGCAATATTGAAAGTGGATGTGATTCTTAGTTATGCTATTTGTGGTAGTGTCAGGAATTTACCAAATAAGGAAAGATTCTCATCACCCAAGTTTCAATTGG